AAATATAAAAAAATAATTTAATTTTTAAAAATTTACTTTTCAAAAAAATCACTTTAAAAAAAAAACTAATTTTCTACGAACAAGCAGACCTTAATTCTATTTATCATGCCTCTAGCACTGTCTCTTTATCCTCATTAGTTTTAAATCGTTTTTAAATATCAATATTAAAAATATTTTTAAAAAAATAAAAAAATTATTATTGTAATATATATTTTAAACAATTATACACCATGCTTCCAAGAAACCCAATAGAAAATTACTATCCACATACAGTCACACGCACTCCCAAAATTCCCAAAATTCTCATGTCTGGCTTCCAAATCTTCACTACTTTCTAGGTGGAATTAATTCCTACCATTTATGAGGCATGTAAAAAAAATTTCCCTATCGTGCTTGGGACATGGCCAAATCAACTCCACTACTATATGATGAATGCCACGTCACATATCATGGCATAAATTGAGAGAAAAATGTTAAATTTGTTAACTGTGTTTGACAATTTAACTTTTATTTAGGAAATTGAACTTTAAGATGGTTTTTTTATTTTAAGTTTAATATATTAGAAGTATTTTTCTAATTACTATTCAATATAGAGTACGTACGTTAATAGAAAGATTTGGAATTAGTCTTAATTGGGAGGTAGATGGGTCAACTTTACCAATTCAGAGTAAAGTGTCCTTATTCAATGGAAGTAGCTTGGAAGACCACACATTAGCCCATGACTCGTTGAAGTGGATCAGGCTCTCAGTGACGTGAAGTAAATACTACTGTTGACCTAAAATCTAGTTTTCACATCATGGGCAAGGAAAAAAAAGATGAGCCAATTAATTTTGCAGGCCACCTAAAAAAAACACGGTGTTCAAAATCCAGAATGGATGACTTTTTCCCAATTCTATGAACCCATGTGCAAAAACTCAGATGATTTATCACAACAGCATTCGAATTATTTTATAGTGTTCGTGCAGTTTTGCTCACATCTTGGCAAATATCAGATACACACGAAATGTAGAATCTAAATTAAGTATATTACAACATCGTTCCTTTTCCCATGTGCCTGGATTTAGTTGGTAAGCTGTCCTATCTAGATATCAATATTGGTGAATTCAATAGTTGTACCTCCTGTTTGTGCACGAAAATTATTATATAAATACTCTCAATATACAGAGTCATCTTTGTCTCTCGATATTTATCCTTCATCCTTCAAAACACATACAAGTGCGTGAAATATCCTTCTTTGATTATATTTTCACATCAAATCTTGTGTAACATATGGAATTGGGAAGTATACTGCAGTTTCTTGAGAACAAGACCATTTTGGTCACAGGAGCCACGGGTTATCTAGCAAAGAGTACGCATCTTCTCTCTACCTTTCTCTTTATGGAGATTTTATGTTGAATAATTAACATTTTTGTTTAATGGGTGCAGTTTTTGTGGAGAAAATATTGAGGGTCCAACCAAATGTGAAGAGATTTTTTCTCCTTCTAAGAGCTGCAGATGCCAAGTCTGCTACTGAACGTCTCCGTGATGAGGTACTAAAAATGTCCCTGAAACGATAATCAAAGGAATAACATAGAGAATCATTTAATTTCTAACGATTATCTGGGTCTAATTCCACTGCATGGACAGGTCATTGGGAAGGACTTGTTTAGGGTTCTAAGGGAGAAACATGGTGCAGGTCTGCATTCCTTTATAACAGAAAAGGTAACTCCTGTCCCTGGTGACATCTCCTACGACGACTTGGGAGTGAAAGACTCTTCTTTGAAGGATGAAATGTGGAGAGAAATTGATGTTGTGCTTAATTTTGCTGCCACCACCAACTTTGATGAAAGGTAAATAAACAAAACTATGGTAATAATAATCTATGATCTCCTTATTTATTAGAATGTTAACACAAACTAATTCTTTTGTTTTTTTCTGTATGTACTTGCGTGCTCCTGAAGATACGATGTTGCACTAGGCATCAATACACTGGGAGCCTTGCACGTTTTAAACTTTGCAAAGAAATGTGTTAAAATAAAGATGCTTGTCCATGTATCCACCGGTAAGTGCAGTTTAATTTAATTAGACAGCTTCATCGACTTCTCATTAATTAGTCTACTTATCATTAAGACTTGATTCCTCAATATCAGCATATATACCCAGCTCACGCACTTAAATTATGTTGATCTGTTTACGTTATTTTCAGCTTATGTGTGCGGCGAAGATGCTGGGCTTATACTCGAGCAACCATATCATATGGGTATGGCCAAAAAGGGGGACGAGAAAATTGATATCAACTTTGAAAAGAACATTGTGCAAGAAAAAATAAATGAACTCAAATTAGAAGATGTTCCCGAGAAAGAAATTACTTCAGCTATGAAGGATTTCGGCATTGAGCGGTAGTTCTTTCTTCTTTTTTCTTTTCTTTTCATGTGGTAAGCTATGAAATCTAGATAGATACACAGTGAGCATGCAAATTAATAAAACCCAATTACAGCAAATAGAATGAAATTGAGATTTTCTTTATGTAATTTCTTTCTCCCAATCTGATATTGCAGGGCAAGGCTTTTCGGATGGCCAAACCCTTACGTATTTACCACGGCAATGGGAGAAATGCTGTTAGTGAATTTCAAAGATAGCTTGCCATTACTAATTATACGCCCAACCATGGTAGCTAGTACTTACAAAGAGCCATTTCCTGGTTGGATTGAAGGTGTCAGGTGAATTTATTCATCGAATACGTAAAAAGATTTTCTAAATCTCTTATCTCATATTAACCTCCATGTCTTGCCGATCTCTTTCACAGAACTATTGACAGCGTAATTGTGGGCTACGGTAAAGGCAGAGTTACATGCTTTATTTCCGGACCACGATCAACTCTTGACGTGGTAATAAGATCCCTCTCCCTTTCTCCTTTCATAAAAAATGAAAAATGATAAGACGTGTAAATATTATTCTAAAAATCAATGGTGGTCTTAATTGAGAATTATTAGAATTTTAGAACTAACGTTTTCTGAAAATGCAGATACCAGCTGACATGGTTGTCAATGCCATTATAGTTGCCATGGTAGCACGCGCCAAGCAGCACTCGGAGATCATTTATCATTTGGGTTCGTCGTTCAGAAATCCTGTAAATGTCTCAAATCTTCATGATTTTATTTTTCGCTATTTCAGTGAACATCCATGGGTTAATAAGGAGGGGCAGTCAGTAAAAATTGGCAAAGGAATTGTTTTGAGCAGCATGTCCAAGTTCTACACGTACATGGCCATTCGTTATCTCCTGCCGTTGAAGGTTTAATGTTGCTGGATCTTAATTAAACTTGATTTAGTTAATTTATCTATTTTCCTTATCATTTTTAAATGCTGTTTTCACTGATATATATTGTGTGTGTTTTTTCTCTCTTTTTAATTCACAGGCATTGCAATTGTTCAATATATTGTTGTTTAACAAATATCAAGGCATGTACACCGTTCTTGATAGAAGAGTAAAATTGGTGATGCGGTTGGTAGACCTCTATAAACCTTATGTGTTCTTCGAGGGCATGTACGTGCACTTCTTTTTTAGTGTTGTATTTTGCTAATCAATTAATAATTAATATTTTTTATATAATTCAATTGAAAAAATAAATTTTTTATTTATTTTTATGCAGATTTGATGATCTAAATTCTGAAAAGTTACGAATAATATCCAAGGAGACCTGTCATGAAACAGATATGTTCGACTTTGATCCGAAGAACATTAATTGGGAAGATTACATGATAAATGTTCACATTCCTGGTCTTGTTAAATATGTGATGAAATAGTTATTTTAAGATTATTATTTTTTTAATTTTTTTAAGAAGTTGTAATGATTATGTTAATTTCAATTTTCCATGCAATGGATTTATGATTGGCAATTGATCACATTATCTGTAAGACAAAGACAGATTAATGAAATTTGATTTCAATATTTATGTTAATTTGTGTTGAAATGTGTGGAGCCAACTAGGTCATGCATGCCACTTGGATATATTTTAGTTGAAGTAATTTTGAAGTGGTAATTTATGGATTTGTTGTCGAGGTTACTATTTTGGGTTGAAACAAATCAAAGGTTTATTTTCTTTTGTAAATTTACCCCTTCGAATGTGGGCAGTCTAAATAAAGATCAGTTAGTTAATCAAAAACTGAACTTCCGGTAAATTAAAATGATTTTTTTATTTAATTTAAATCTCTAATTTTTTTTATTTTTTTACTCTCAATGTGAACTTAACCTTTGATGAGAATAACGAATCCTCGACCTGTGAAGTGGTCCGTTCGTGAGTTTCCCTAGTTGTTCTTGAAAAAGGAGGCAGATGATGTTACAGTGATGTTACAGACAGAGGCGACGTGGTTGGGTTTTCATAGACTGTTTGTTATCTAATTATTTTTTAAAATATTTTTTATTTAAAAATATATTAAAATAATATTTTTTATTTTTATAAAATTATTTTTAATATAAATATATTAAAATGATCAAAAAATATAAAATATAAAATTTTAATTTTTTTAAAATATATTTAAAATATAAAAACAAACATAATTTAAATATTGGCGGTGTTGCTACCCAATTTTTAATTCATGTTTTGATATATTTTTTTAAATAAAAAAATAAAAAATAATAATAAAAAAATAATAATAAGGGTTTACACTTGATGATAATATAGAGTATCAGGGCTAAATAAACAATATATTAAGGAGATAATTATTGAATCATATATAATTATTGTAATATAAAATAATATAAATATATAATTTGATTTGTGCTGGAAAATAACTAATGTAAAATTTATCATATATATAAATAAACAGTATGTTAAGGAGATAATTATTAAATTATATATAATTATTGTAATATAAAATAGTATAAATATATAATTTGATTTGTGCTGGAAGGAAAATAACTAATGTAATATATATCATATATATAAAATTTATTGATACTAATTATGGAAAATAATATCTATAATAATTATTGCAATATTTTTTAAAATAACACGTATAAATCTTTTCTATATAAAGAAATCTTTAGCCATATAAAAAAGCAGGAGAAAAATATTCATAGGCAATTTTTTAGAAAAGAGGAGCCAAACAAAAAAAACCTAAAAAATAAAAAATCATAACCATTTCTTCTCCCTCACCCGGACCTGCCGCCCTCTCTCTTTGCCTCTGTTTCCCTCACCAGACCGTCCCTCTCACAGCCGTAACCCTTGGGTTCTTCTCCCTCAGTCGCCAGCCACAGCCTTTCCTTTCCTTGCTCACCAGCCTTTCCTCCCCGAGCCAGGGAGAAGCTGCCCCCTCCCTTTGAAAGCCGACCACAACACTACCCTCACCCGGCTGCTCTTTCCTGTTTCGCCAAGAGGAGCGGCTTCCTTCTCTGAAACAAAACACGATCTTCCCCCACAGAACAGCCGCACTTCCCAGCCGGCCACATACCCATCGGTCCCCGTCTTTTCCACCATCGTCAACCATAACAGGTCTTCCTTCATCAGCCCCGACTGGCCTCCACCAAAACCAACTCCAGAGCAGCCCTCAACACAGCGGCTCCCACAATCCCAGCTACCGGAAGCAGGGGAGAACAAGGCAAAACCCAAACACAAATCTGTAGTAAAACAGATCTGGAAGAAAGGAAAGAAGGAGAGCAGAAAAATAGCAAAAAGAGAGCAGAAAAATAGAAAGAAAAGAGCAGAAAAATAAGAAAAGAGAGAACGGAAAGGAGGAGCAAAAAAAGAAGAAGAGAAAAACGAAGAGAAAGGAACAAAGAAAAAAACAACAGTTTGGAAGGAAAACACAAGAGAGGCAGGCGACGGGGAAACCAGTTATTTACCAGCACATAGCTGAAATATTGCGTCCATTTCAGCATCTCTATTTTCGTCCGTCATTTACCAATATTCAAGGAGGCAGACATTAGCTGTGACTTTCGGTCTTTTGGTTTTTTTGCAAACAGGAGCTGCAGGTATAAGCCCCAATCTCTTCTCTTTTATTACTTTGTATACCAAGCATTCGGATGTAAAGTCCAACGCTTGCCCATTATTCTTTCATGATGTTTGAGTTTAGCGGCAGTCCATGTAAAAGGGGTTGCCTGCATGTTTAGGAACGTTTACATTTAGGAACTTTCATTGTGTGTATTCCTTGCGCCACTGGAGAAGAGATTAGCCGGCCATGACTTTTACATTTAGAGAGCATGCTTCCAGTTTTTTTTTTTTTCTTGCTGTTTACGTGTGAGGAGTACAGTGGGTTTTAGTTGTATCAAAGAAAAAGAAAGAGGTTTGTGGGTATGAACACTGTCACTAGAATAGGTTTAAGGGGATGAACACTGTAACTAAATTCTATTTTATTTCTCTCTAGTTATAATTTTTTTTTTTTAAGTTGCTTTAAGCTTTCTTGTAAATTTTAGAATATATGTGACAATTGGTTACCTTTTATTGTGATTTTTGTATTTAATTGTGATGTTTGTGGTTTTTTTTAAAAAAAAATATATATTATTTATTACACACGGTCAATATCCTAACAATTTTTTTTATTCGAATTTCTTTTTATATATATAAAAAAAATATAAATATTAGAAGTTTTAAAAATGTGTTTTTGCATGGATTTCTTAAACACAAAAATTATTTTCTTGTATTTTTAGATTTTACGACATGTTTGTAAAACTCCAAAGGGTATTGGCCAATATTCCAAATAATATAAAAAATTTTATTTTGGGGGGAATTCATCTATTATTCACCGCTAATGTTTGGATAAAGAAATCCTTAAAGGATGAATATCCAAAATATTATTGGGAATAATTTGTTATTATTCACTGTTAATATTTGAATAAAGAAACTCGAAGTGGTAAATATCCAAAATAATTTTTTAGAAATAATAAATCCGCACACATCCTTAAAAGAAACTTTGATTATAATTGAGGATATTTCAATTTTTTTACTCTACGGTTTACGAGTCGTGAGAGTATAAAACACTAAGACAAAAAAATAGATTTTTAAAGCACTCAAGATTTCTAATTTTTGTCCCTCCTCCTTACGATTTACGAGTCGCAAACTCTTGAAATACCAAGGGAAAAATGAGCTTGTAAAGCACATCGAATCTCCTTGGATTTCTTTCTTAATAAATTTAGTTAGAATCAAACCAAGAAAAACTGATGGGATTAGAAAACACCAACACCATAGCAATTATAAGACAAACCAAACACCAAGCAACTTATCTTAGGTAGGGCGTACTAGGGGTGCTAACATCTTCCCTTTACGCAACCAGTCTCTTGCCTTAGAATCTCTGAAAGACCAATTAGATTTCCTAGTGAACATAATACTAGGTGGCGACTCCCTTTTACACAAAAATAAAACTAAAAGACCCCGAAATCAAT